AAGCCTTTCATCCTTCTGTTTTTTTCATGTGCAGTCAAGAGCTTTGTGTTTGGGGCACACTTATTTTTTATACAAAATGATCTCTAGGCAGATTATTTTTTCCAGTTCTAAAAAAGCACCTTTTAAAAGCCAAATTGGATACACAATTCTATTATTCCATTTACATATACATTCTGGTGCATCTGATAAGGTTTCTGAATTATACATTTCTTACCATAACTACACTGGGGCACATTTTGAAGCTTTTGGTACAAAATATGAAAGTATGAAGGTTTATTGGCATACATAGTTCCACATGTTCTCTAAAATTAAATAGGGAAACCAGATTAACGATGCAATGGTTAACTATTAACACTTAGCAATGCAATGCCCTTCCTTCATCAGTGGCATTATTTAGATCAGAATTTGCTCACGGATTCATCTGTTTTTTCTGTTTTAGAGATACTTCACCTTCTTAGCACTTAACACTAATACTGGAAACTAAATTGGTTTCCCCTCAACTAGAACAGTTATAACTTGGAATGGAATCTTAAGGTGCCCTGGTGCTGCTCAATCTAGAATTACAATTTTAATTCTCGTACTTGTTTCCTCTTTCCAGAGTGAATGCAACTCTTGACAAGCTGTACTTCAACTTTAAAAACAGAATTTATAAATCTTTAAAAACACACACATAGAGACAAGAAGATCACATTCTGGTGATACCAGATAAAATATTCTACTTAGCCCCAAATGCACTATATGTGGAATGAATAATGTACTAATTTTGCACCTTACTGTATATTATTTGTAATATTTTAATTCATTTTTTCACAGCTAGACTACGAAGGCTAAAACACAACAGTAATCTCTCTATCTTAAAAACACAACTTCTCAGGGAAAACTTCAGACAATCTACAGTATACCACCCACTATACTTAACTGGAAAGGAGGATTCTCATATTTTCCTGAATGCTAAACAATATATTTCATTAGCGTTCTCTAGAATCTCATCCGTGCAAGTTAGGGTTCATTCTTCTTTAGCTATGTCAAACCTGTAATTCACCATCAGCCTATGATTTGGGAAATGACATGACAACTTGTATGCTGTTTACCATTCATATAAAATATTAAAAGAGGATTGTTTTTGTAGCCTGGAAATAACCAGCACCAAAGAAATAGTGCCTTCTACTCATCCCCCAAGGCAGTCTTCTTCATAACAAAATAAAATAATGAAGAAGACTAGAAAACACTAACATGATAAGAATAGGAAACACACCTGGCATTTGTGCTTGGCAAAAAATATTAAATTTTGGATCTAGTAAAGGATCCAAGTTATTTACAAACATGCTTTCACTAACTTCTCCTCTTGTTTTACAATTTAAAAGAAATAAGGGAATAGAGCAAATCTTTAGAAATGAACATGACTTGCAATAAAACAATGATATAAGTTAGCATTTCAGTGAATGAACTTTCATCAAATGGGTTTTACAATTTTCATAACACCAAGACATACCCAAGCAAGCTAAAGCAATGCCCCCATAGCAAGGATGATAAATAAATTGGCCTACTGGTTTTAAGATCATATCTGTAAGAATTAATACTTTGGTTATGGTTTTGAAATGGGGAGGAAGTGATAGGTTTATCCATGATTGCTGCCTAAAAATAAGATTAATTGAATCAAAAGCAAATTGCTCTAAATTCTAATAAGTGCATTATTTTATGTATATGCAATTAAGACCAAGCAACTGAGTAAATAGTCTCTCTTCCACACCATAGGAACAATATCCTCTTGTCCCCTTTTTCATTCTCTTGTGCATAATTAACAAGTTACCAATGAAAGAGCAGCACATAACCTAATGATGTGATATTAGAAAGCTGAGATCTGAATCTTCCATCTATTCTTAAAGAATCAACAGTATTGATGGGAGGACCCTGAACTATATTGGGGCTTTCCCACATTTTCCCAATTAAAATTCTCCAATCCCATTGCTATTTATTCTATGAGGAAAAACATGTAGATTAAGAGATTAAAAATATGCATTATTTTTACAGTTAGAAGACATGAATAATTAAAATCTTATGATTGAAAGGTTTTCTACATGTTCCATATTTTCTTAGCCAAGGCCCACAATAATTTTTTATACTACTGCTCCTATTACTTAAGGTGTTGTTTTTGATTCAGACACAGATAGATAATACTGCCACTTTTAGAATTGAGCTTTATGCCATCTTGGCAACATGTGTTCCAAAACCCATACAGTTCTTTTTCCTCAACAATCTGATGATTGACTTTGAAATATATTCAGAGAGTCCAAATGGGTCAGTGAAAAGGAGAAAGATTATCCTGCATCATTAATTTTCCAAGTCTGTTCCAAAGTTATTTTTCCCTTCTCCTCTAACAGTTGAACTTACTTCTGCCCCGGTAACAGGAAAAATACGTACATAGATTCTTACATACATATACATATACATATACATTACAGTACATAACATAACATACATAGATACATACATACATACATAAACAGGCAATCGTGGGAGGGGTGATAGCAATCTCTCACACTGACTTTTCTCTACAAATATCCAACATCTCATTCTTGCATTTACCGTAAGAATTTCCTTGAGGATCTTTCTTAAAATCGAAAGGTCAAATAATAAATGAAATATTATGGAAAGCACAGAATTAGGAACTGTTCTCTTGGCATGCAATCAGCACAAATCTGTCTGATTTACTGATATGCTACTTACTGCTATGTTTATTTAAGACCTGTACAGGAATAAAGCTAGGATAAAAAGGGCAGTATAGTGGGGTTCTAAGACTAAACACAGAATCAATTTTTTAAAGTTTGGTAGGTTGTAAAATCTAGCTAATTCCACCGGTAAAAAGGATTTTAGCACAAGTTCTATTGTCTTCAGTGGCATGAATTAAATTTCCTGTTCCACCACACCTTTTCTCAGTCTTCTTTATTTTATTTAACAAGATATGGGTGGGTTACGACTATCTGATGGTATTGATAACATGCGTGCCATTATTTTGCAAGATAAGTTTTTCTTAACACTGAAAAATGTTTAATCTTTTTAAGTAAAATAAAGAACAAGGCTTATGATATCATAAATTTTAAACTGGAAGAGAGCAAACTCTTATACAAACTATTGACCTGCAAATACTTTTAGGCTTAAGTGGCTTTCTTGACTCTGGAGCTTTTCATTGGAGTAGGAGTAAAGAATATGGCCTATGCAATTCAACTGTGAATACACACATATATACTTCCATGAAAATGCAAGGAATTCAATCACATTACATTTTAGAATGATTTGCTGGCTTACTTGCTAATATCTGGGGAAACTACTTCATCATTAAAATATAAATGATTGTCAGAGTTTACCCAACTTTCCTTATTTGACTTGCGATATGGACTGATAATCCCCTTCAGGTGATTTATCTGAATTTTAGAAAGCATGATAAGATCTACTTTCAAAATTCATTTTCTTTTAATGGTAATTGTGTGTGCTGCCTTGTAAAATTGCTACAAATCAATATGTACATATTCTGATATGAAAGGGTAATTCTCTGTTTAAATGGATCCGTGAGGGTGAATCTGGCTAGGAAGGTGATGGGGGCCTAGTTTTGTTGTTGTTTTAACTAGAGTGGGAAAGGAAAAGGAAAAGCGCTTGAAGAAAAGGAATAGAGGAATGCTGATTTTTACTTGCCAGGCCTGGAAGTGCCCTGAGCTGGGCAGGATAGATGACATGAGTGTGCCAGTAATGCCATCCTCAGGCGCTGAGATGAACCTCCTGACATTGTCCAGAGGCTGCAGGACACACACTGGACGGGCATATTCTAAAAAAGGAGAAAAAACTCCTGACAATATTATTAGACTGAAACTATAAGAAATACAGACTGGTGGGAACACATAAGGTGGCCAAAAGGTAGACAAGTGGGTTTAACACAGAAGAGTCTTGTCATTGTTGAAGAAAAAGTGTCAGAAAGATGGAAGTAGCATCCAGGAAAGCTGGATTATTGTTGGACTCTTGACCTCTTAAAAGCAAATGAAAACGAAAAAGCAAGAAATACTACAAAAGCAACAGAAGGAGGAAGGGAAGTTTGGGTAGATCCTTTTGAGTACAGCAAAAGATCAATCTAGAAATATTCTGCAGCCAATCCAATTTGGATTTCAAAGTCTGAAGCAAATTAGACATAGTGCTTAAAATAAACCAGGCATTTCTGTTTCAATTGCAAGAAAACAAAACTAAAAGAGAGCTGAAAAATGAAAAAAAAAATACGGTAGGGACATGTGTTCATCTATACATTCCCACAGTATAAAGTCAAGCTGGAAAAAAGAGGCCATAAAAACAAAGAAAGGGATTCCAAACTATCCCTTCCACACTTAACTCTCCCTTGAGAAACTTGTTCCTGTGTGGGACAGCAGGCACTGAAAATTCATTTATTGCTCTAATGCTGCCACACTATTTGTGCAGGAGTGCCTATCTGAATGTTTGCAGTTTACCAGCTGCGGGCATGCTGATATATTAAACTGATCCAACAAAAGGAATTAGGAAGGGGAGGGGGATCAAGCAAAGAAACAAAATTCTGACCCCAAAATAAATGCTCCTCAATTTGCCTTCTAATTAAATAAAACATTTTTCTCTTTGTTGATCTGACACTTACCTAAATATTCTTTGTACACCTCCACTCAGCCCCCCCCCCCCCCCCCACCCCCCCCCCCCCGCCAACGCAACCCTCAGCTTTCAGCAAAAGAGATTTTCTTTATCATAAGAAGTTACCGGCATCACAGGTAGGAAAGAACCAGGCAATCAAGAAAAACTACCTGTTATTTTCAGTTATTTTTCAAATAACTGAACGTGATAGACTCATCCTACTGCACATCTAAAGTTAGCAGTTTGCTAATTAGGGATGAAAGGAAACATATAGAGAAAAAGAAAATTTTGGAGAAAACAACTGCCCATAAAATTAAACATAAAAACCAAACCCCACGAGTGGTGTTATTTGTAGGACCTACCAGGAGTGTGAACAAAATACGCCAAGTAAAGATCCAGTTCTTTAATTGTGACTCCAATGTGGTGTGGCTGGACGCAAAGGCCCGGGTTTGAGCACTGCGGCGACTTGTATAGCCGCTCCCCATCAGTACTTTCAAGGGGGATCCCTTTGAACAAGATGACCATAACTAGGTCCAGCCTCCAAACCTTGTCAGCCTGCCTCAGGCAGTCAATCCTGCGAATTTTGCCTTTCTGATCTGGATTGGAGAGGACACAACACGGAGCTTTCTTGCCTGTGATGGTCAAGACAAAGTCCTCACGAAACTCTGGGCGGATATCCTTGCGTAGCTTGGCCAGGAGTCGGGATGCCCATTTCTGCTTGATCTCAGGCTTTTCACCAAGTAATTCATCCTTCACAGCTCGTTCCTCATCCTTTGACATTCGCTTCTCGTGCTTCTTAAAGTACTTTCGCTTCCGAGCTTGCAGATTGAACCATGTGTAGGAAAAGGCACGGACATGCGGAAGGAGAGCTTCAATGAAGGGGTGGAATTCATCCTGGGGAGAACAGGGTGAGAAGAAAGGATGCAAAACAAAGAAAGGAAAAATCCATTAGAATAAGAAAATCGGGAGGGGGAAGCATCACAACGTGAAATTCATAGGTAGAGAAACAGCAAAGTGAAAACACGTAAAGCTAAGCTCAGAGTGTGATTAATCCAGCTAAAAAATAAAATACTAGAAGGACGACAAGCAGGAATTTGGGGAGAGGGGAGGGAGAGAAAACAGTAGAATTAACATTGTTTTGACAATGCATTAGTATGGAAATCTAAAAAAAAATCAGCATGAAGTTGTGGAAGTAAAATTTCACTTCTTTAAAAATAAAAGTACTGAAGTTTGTTTAGCAACATAGGAATTAAAGACAAAATCAGTTCTGATCCCCTGTCCTAAACCCAAAGCTCTAAATATTCTTTATAAATTGAAATAATTTTAGTGGGCCTTCTAACTTTATTTTAAAAATAAAAAATTACCTACAACAAAAGCATCCAGGAAAAAAAAGTCAAAAATGGAAATAATTACCATTGCTCTGTCTCATCCCGGCGAAGCTAAGCCCCCGATTCAGAAATTCTGGGCTCAGAATTGCAGAGAATAGAAAGCGGACGATATTGTGGGTATGCGGGGTGGAAGGTGAGGAGAGGGGGGAAAAAGAGGAAAGTAGAACTGTACGAAGGAAGGGCACACAAGAGTGCTGGATATTTCTTAAATTAAGTAAAAAATAATTGTTGGCTGCATCTTTCACTACAAACTGTTCACCAAAATGTTCAAGTCTTGTTTAATAAAGAGAGTGGGAAAGCAAAAGTGAAGGATTAAAAACTGAAAGAAGGCAGCTAGGAAGGGAAACCTCAGCCGAAGACAGAAATAAATCAACATCACTCTGCCTGTGCCACATGCACAAAATAGATTAAAAATGCCAAATGGCTGTTAAAAAAAATACTAGCAACAATAATAGCAATAATCGTGATAAAGGGAAGAAGGAAACAAAATTAAAAAAAAAATAGGAAGGACAACAGCAACTAATCAGACAGGGGAAGCTGAGACCAGAGAAGAATCTCTCTCAGCGTTGGCAGAAATGCAAAGATGCAACTTAGATGTGGCTCCCTCCGCCTGAGAATAGGGGTGATCGCAGGTCTAGGGGAAAAGGGGCAGACTCCGCTGTGGGATCAGCTGTGATCGGCTGCTGGCAAAACCCAACTGCTGGGGTATGGGGGATTTTGTTGTTGTTGTTTTTCCCCCTTTTTTCCTTTCCCTTTTTCCTCCTAAACTCTCTGGCTTGCTTGCTTTCTCCTTTCATGCTCGGTCCCCAACCATTTGCCTTTGCCAATGCCAGCGGAAAAAAGAGAGAGAGAGAGAGAGAGAGAAGAAGGATCCACCTATTTGGCAAGAAGACCTATCGTGGAGCAGCCAATGGCTGCATCAAAGGAAAAGGGAGGTGGAGGGGGAGGTTGGCAGAGAAGGAATCAGGGAGGGGGTGGCAGAGAGAGACACAGAGAGAAAGAGACTGTGCAGTTAAGAGACTGAAAACAATTTGCCAAATCGACAAGTTCATATCTAACAAATAAGTGAAGTCCAGCAGCAATGGCATTTTTATTGGCCCACAGATTTTGGCTAGAATACAACTTGCAAAATATTTTAAATAAATAAATCTCCTAGGATACACCCCAAACTCACACACACACACACACACCCAAGACAGCCCCACAGGTCTCAGAGAAAGCAGCTGTTCGGTCTTTCTCTTTCCATCTTATTCTCCTTCTGTCACCTCTTGGTCCAACTATTTCTAGGAAAAGATCTGTTCAATTATAATACTCTTTAAGATTCAGTCAGATTTAGTCTACTTTTTTCTCAGTTCAAGTAATGATCGAAAGTCATTGTCTCTGCCCCAATGCATTTCTTCGTAAGCTCCTGTTATCTATCTCAGATGCAGCCAGCCAGTCTGTCCTGTTCCTAGCAAAATAGGAGTTTTCTGCACATTTCCCCTTCTTTCTGCCACTTCATCTTAACATTTGCCAAGAACTTCAATCCTTAGTGCTGGCTGTCAATCATTCATTTTGATGAAATTACTTACGTCTTCTAACCCCAAATCAATAAATCAAACATGACAAAACTTAAACACACTGCAAAGTTGGAACTATCCTGAAACTTTTTCAAGAACAGCTATTTTAAGATATTTCATCGCAACATACTTTTTGTTACCTGAATTTTGATTATGTTGCAAGTTTAAAACAAAGGGCATCAGAAAAGCTGATTAAAAATAGTATAATAGAGGACTCTAGGAAAAGGAAAAATAGTACAAAGAAAGACAACAAAAAGAAAATGTGTAATATTTATGTATAATTATATAATACAAAAATATATTATACGTATATACAAATACACATTGTATATCATATAATGTATAAGATAAAATGGAGAGATTTAAAGAGGATTAAAAATATAGGCAAGAAAGTCAATAATAAGGATTATGATTATTAATAATCATCCTACAATAATACCTTTAACACCATTAAACAATAATATCTGCTTATCCCAGGTCTGTAGGAAGGACTCAATAGGTGGATAAAAATGCCAGATGCAGTCTAAACTTCTGGCTGACTATGCAACAAACAATAATAATAATAATACCAAGACTACTTGGTATCTTCAAGACTACTAAAAGAAAAGTTGTTTACTGTCATAAATATACAAAAGATTGAACACAAAGAAATAATGACTTGTTATTGCAAATCAATTGCAAATGGCAGCTATACTTAGAATAGCTTACAGTCTGCAATGAAGCCTTTAATATTATTAAACCTACCTATCTCAAGTCTTTGGAAACCACTTGATAGGTTGACAAAAATGCCAAATCCATATAAACATCTGACTAACTATATGCACAACCATAATAATAACAGTCCTCCAAAGCTTTTGCTTCAGTATGGGAGCATTTTAGCGAGACCTGGGAAGGCATTCTTACTTTAACTGAACCTGGTTTGCTTGTTCTTTGGCTCAGCCCATCCATTCTCTTAGCACTTTACCAACTTATCATAGGACAACAATACCAAAGAAGCTCAATTTACAAATAATTCAGGGCGCTACTCATACTGACGCAGAGGGCAGTATATATTCCTCTTTGCACTGCCATAGCTTGAGTATTTCTAGTCTTTCACTTTGTGCTTGTGTGAGTGCAGCGACTGATATACCAAATACACTAGTGAGAGGTAGTCCATGGAGATAGCATGAAAGTCAGACCTATGCTGAACCTTTTCTAATGCCCACTGTCAGGCCTTGTTGCCAGATTTTCAGCAGCCAAGTAGACGGCCAAATGAGAGCTCCGGATTTACATTTGCAAATCATAAGTGAAGGTTTGCCCTGCTCAGCTTAAATAGGGGGAGGAGTGGGACAAATGGCTGCTTCTCATTTCTGTCTACCCACAAATCTGGCATTAGTCAGTCCATTGGAGCAGGGTACAGGACCCTCCAACCTCTTCCCACACATAAACAGGTTGCTTGCTTGGGAAAAGTACAGGCCGCCCCACATCTCTCTGTGACCCTAGTGACAAAATATCAAAGAACTGTGACCAAATACCTAAATCTGCTCCTTCTGCTCGATCACACAGATTATAGGTGAGGAGGCAGGCAGGCAGGCAGTTGAGGTAGAAAAGTTCTCTCCAGGCACAAAAGCTTGGAGATTAATTTTCTGCATCTGTGTCATGAGGGGGTATATGTGCAAGGTGAAGCATAAGGAAGTAGAATAAAGAAGACAAAAGAAAAATGAACTGCCCTTTCCTCTCTCTCCTCTCTAGCCATCCCCACAAAGATTTTCAAAATAAGTTGGTGAAATTTAAAACTCGACTCTCGGTTCCTTATTTCTTGGGAGCGCAAAGACTCCCAACTTCTTATATACACAGAATGTTTCCTTTAAATTAGTGTATTTCTTTTAACTTCTAAGCAACTAATATAATTTTTTTCTTTAATATAAGATTTGATATGGAACTGAAATATGCTATTCCTCCCTGTAAAAAAGACACTGTACAAAATTAGATTTTAAAACCAATTTTAGGTATACTTATGAGAAGCTGCAAATATGTATAGATATATTTTTATTCAATTTTTGGCCACGTACAAGTACAAACAACCCCAGACTTGAATTCGGTGCTGAAGCCCTTTGCAATATAATCAACCCCCTGAACTGATTGTAAGATCTGCCTAGCCCTAGCAATACCAGTCCATATTATGATGATACTCAGTCACAGCTAAAATTCTGATGTACTCTTTTTACTTTTTTGATACATTAAATCAAGCACATGTGCAATTTAATTGTTATCTTGCCTTGGTATCAGATTTCTATGGAGATAAAGATGCATATGGAATTCCACGTTGGACAAGTAACCCATAATGTTTGATCTACATTTTTTATTCATTAAAAAAAAGAGAGAGATGGAAGTGAATCTTTTATTTTAGTACTATATCAAGGTTAGTTTGAATATCGCTGTGGATATTTGTCATTTAATCAGAACAGAAACAGAAACAGAGGCTGCAAATGAAACAATGGAAACATCGTCAAGCATCGGCACCCACTATTGTTGATTACAAAGGAAGCTGTTGACCGTTCAAACTAGAAAACATTATTCTTATTTAGGGATTTTGCAACATATTTTTTTGATAATGCACACTTTGATACAGCCATATTAGGGAAATAACCTAATAACACAAAAACCTTTCAATGGAATTAATATGTCATATATCGTTGCTGTATAACTTCTATTCAAATCAGTGAAGTTCCTTGTATCATCCCCTGGTTTCCAATATTAAATAATAAAAGGTGATCATGTACGAGAGGTCTAGTGCAGAAGATTATTGGTTTCTTGCACAATAATAATTGGAATAATTTGACTGAAGAGAAAATGTGTGTATCATATTCTCCATCTAATCAATCAATAAACAAGTGAGTAGAAATAAAATAATGAGTATACTTAACTAGAAGATACACAATACCAACAGAAACATAGCAATTAAAGA